ACGGTTTTCGTTGCGAGGCTAGCACATAGAGCGTCTCGCGTTGAATTCTGGCAATGACAGCAACTTCAGAAGCATCTCGTGCTCAGCGATGTTAGAGAGGCAATGTTACACCAACTTCTGATGGGCGACGTCTCTTACAATATGGACTTAGCTTGATATGAAATAATAAGAACCGGGTGTTGCTTTTGTCTTTATCCAGCATGGTACAGAAGTATGTTCTTAAGTGTTGACTGTTCGTGCGAGACACTGTCATGGCCAGCCACCCTGTTTCGACATATTGAAGCAAGGGACTAATAATACCTTCTCGTCTGGTGAGTATGCCCCTCTATGATAAAGACAAAATAAACAAGAAGGAGAGAGGGGTGAATGGATACCCTGATGAAAATTAGTTTCGCGGCAAAGACGGAGAGTAGTAAAATCTAGAAAAAGAGGCATACTCTTGCCGAAGCTCCATTCACGCTTTGGCATTCGTATTATTAAGATTATCGCGTGAAAACACATCTACCCCTCCCCCTCCCTAAATTTATGATGTTCGCCATCACACTGTTTTGATTTATGTGCACATACTTTGTGCTGTTTTTCTAATCTTTCCGATAATTTTGTTATTCTTTGACCTTATGCTTTTTTCAAACATATGTTCGCCTTTCCCCTGACTCCCTTTTTCTTGCTGTCACGTTTCCTCCAAGACGTGCGTTCTCCCATAACCACATTTTGCCCCTCCTCGCCCCCTTTTTTGATTTTGTTGACTTTATTAGTCTAGTCCCGCTAGTGGAGCTTTCCGTCGCGGGCATATTGTAGCTCGTTTTGGTCTTGCTCAAGGAACAAGAAAATGCTCCAGTTTCAGTCGGACAACAAAGTCACCATGACTCCGTACGACGTGCGTCGTATGGATCCTTTTATCAGAAAACCCACATGCTCCGTAAAAGGAGGCTTCTAATATTGAAGAACAGGGAAGGAAAATATAATTATGTACTTTTTTTGAAAAAATAATAATAAAATAAAAAATAAAAAATAAATAAATAAATAAATAAATAAATAAATAAATAAATAAATAAAAGGTGCTGTCACTTCGTAGAGTAATCGAACGATTTCGGATCGTCATGGTAGATGAGCCGCGTTTTCTAGAAAGCTTCCCGAGTTTCACTCTTTGCTGCCCTTAAAACGTATTACCGGACATGGTCCGGAAGTTTTTATTGGCTGTGCCTGATCTGCAGTAGTGAAATACAAGTTGACGGTGACAGGGAACAAAACCGCAGAAACCTTAAAACGGGGTGCGGCAGACGAGACGAAAGATAAACAGGACTGCGTAATGCAGAGAGCTAGGCGTGGCTATCTATTAGATAGTCTCAGCTGCATTCTTCCCTTTCTGGCTTTTAGTGTTCCTTGTCTGCCGCCAGCTTCGACCTCGACTCAACTGATCGATGTCCCTGATCCGGGTAAATGCGCCGTGACGTGTGGAAACAGAGATGGTAGTTGGCTTTTGGCTGGTTTTCGGCAGACAAGTAAAGACCACCCAAAACCATGTTTAGTCAGTAGTTGATCACCACCATTGTCCCTTTCTTGTGCGTTGTCCGTTGTATGTGTTCAAGGTGATATGCATTTTAGAGTGCGTAAAACAGTCGAGCCTCCCATGTGAAAATCAAACACAGCCTCTTCCCCAAAACAAGCCTTGGGGCCGGCACCTCCATCTTATCTCGTAAACTCAGCTGACGTACGGAGCACCTGACATTTGAGAATTCTAATACCAGTGCGCGAAGGATCTGATTGTGACCATGACTTTGCTCGGAGTTGTTGAGATGGCAATGGAGAGGGCAAATTAGACTCCGTCGCAACTATGCGTGACATGACAGCAATGTTTCACCCCTCATGGTGGGCAAGCGGTTACATGGGGGTCCAAGCTGCGGCAAGCAGGGGCAGACGGAAAGCAAAGGTAAGAATTTGGAGCGACGAGATTGAGATCAGATATAATAGCTTATCTGTGTGTGGTGAAAGTGAAAGAAATACAGATATCCTGTAAAACACACAGCTTAGGAAAGGAACGATAAAAGAAAAGAGACAGACAATCCGCGAGACTAAAAATACGACTCCATACAGCCAGTCCTGCTGTGCTAGTTATGGCGCAGGAACAGACGCAGAAATGCAACGAGGCAGTTCGTGCGTGTGTTTCGTGTTTCGCGTCCCACGCCGCCGCTGGCACTTGTCCATTGTGTGGATTTCGTGCGTCGTCGGGAAAGCCGACTGGGGTCTGGAAGACTTGAGAGCATAGCAGAGGAGAGGGAGACAGAGCGAGATACTCCGTACTTTGTTTCTGTCATGAAAGTACGCCTGTCAGACCGGCCCAGCCAGGCCAGATCATCGCCAACCAATTGAATGCTCAAAGCGCACTTGGACTTGGACACCCAATTTGCAGTTTTCTCATCATACCCATCCGATTTTCTTATACCACTCGTCTTCTCCCGCATGCCGCCGCAAACTCTCCCACACCTCCCACGCAGAAATAGGTATGGAGCTGGAGAGCTGGAGATTGCCATTCGCTGCTGTCGAGCCGTTGGACATGGCTCTGGTCATCACTCTGCAGACGTGCTCCTGTTTTGGACAAGCACTGACAACAACCCCCCGGGTCTGGCCCTTTTTTGAGGGGAAGATCTCTTCTTTCGGACTGGCCCACACAGCCTTAACCAGGGCCTGTGCTGCCTCTTGTCTCCGACCCCCTCCCCCCTCTCTTCGACTGTCCTGTTGTTTTGCTGGTTTTTCGATCGGGGACAATATGGTGACCCATTGCCGGCTTCTGCAGGGCTAAAGTAAGATGCCGTATTGTTATAACAAGCGGATGAAGCACAGCAAAGAGAAAAGGAAACAAAAGAAGACTGCACATCAACTATCGCCCTTGGGTAGCAATGAGGGTAGAGAGCCGTGGCCAGGCCCCGTCCACACAAGCCCTAACCCCCTCACACTCACCTTGTGCTGACGCTCAATAATTGTCAATCAAGTAATTCGTACGACAGACTCGGTTCGTCGTAGACACTGTTGGTGGTCATCGAGTTGCCACGAGCTGTCAGTCTGCCAGTGTTGAGATGCCTTTTCACACTGTATGGTAGTATATCGCGTTATGAACACGGCGCCAATCACCTCGCTCTGTGACGGGCGGCTGCTTTAAGAACCCCGATTTTTCGAGTTTCTAAGCATTGGCGCTGGTGTCGTGCTGGCGCTGGTCCGAGCCTGGCCGCTTCGGCCGCTTGTTGTTGACCGCTTCGTCCACCCCCTTTCTGACTCTTTGCCCCGTGCCTGTCATTGGGCCACTGCTCCTGCCCAAAATTCTAGAGAAGTGTTGTGGCTTTTGTTTACTTTGAGTTTGTGCCTCTTTCTTCTCTTGACCTTTTCTTAATCTGGAGTGCGCTGTAGGGTCTACTCAGTGGAGCAACTGCAATTGGTGTCACTTTCAGGGGTGTTTGCGTGCACTGTATGTCCTATGTACGACGTATTATTACGGATCAAATAAGGAGTAATACCCTCTTGTCTGACCTGTCGACCCTTCCTATTCCTCGGATTTTTCAGCGCTCCGCTCTGCCAGTCGCACTTTCCCCTTTTGCATGAAAATCCCTGACTACCCTGACTCCGTGGTTTAGTTGGGTGGCTCGTCGTCACCTTTCTGCCGTGTCTCCTGGCGTTTGGCTCGAGTCGAGGGGAAGAGCGGGGGCGGCTCCTGCCTTAGGGCCCCCAAACTACGGCGCGGCGCCAGCAAAATGTAGCGAGGGGGGTGCGCTTGACAGTAAACAGCGGCCGAACCCCTGACTTTTGTCTGCTGGTAGCTCCTTCCTTGTTGTCTGGCTGTGCGATACGTGGTGTGCCCCGTCGCCAATATTACCCACCTCCAAACACTCCTCCTGGCGTCTCTCCGCCCACTTTCAACCACAATCCCCATCCAAGCCCTACCCTCACCTACTCTCCTCCTCTCGTCCTCCTCCTTTCCGCCTACCTCTCTCTTTTTTGGTTGTCTCCTCGCCACGCTCTTTTCTGGTCCTCTTTGGATTCCTTCATTTGTTCCATATCTCTTCCCTCTCTTTTTGGTCTGTGTTGTATATTCTACCTTTGCTTCTTCTTGTACCTTGATTTGTATTCCCAATCCTCGCCTTCTACCGCCTCCTCCACCCCCTCTCTCGTCTCTCTGACTCTTTCACCCTGTATCATATATATTTTGTTCTATAAAGGTACGTTCTATACTGGCAAAGCAGATATGTCTTTCTTGAAACCCGTCGGCCTCTCGCTCGACACACTTCGCTGCATCGACCGCCCCTTTGCCCGCCAGCTTACGCCGAGGCGGTGTGCTCATCCAATGCAGCACAACTTTCCGAACGACTCCCACCATCTGCAGCTGTAGTGGACTCGCTCAAATGCTGAGAGCATACGACGGTATCTGCAGGCTCGCAAGCCATAACACTTGCATGAAGACCGTCTCTCGTAAAGGCGGCGGTGGGTGGCAGGCGGCCTGGGTGTCGAACAGGAATAACGACAGAAGAATGGCAGCATAGGCGCCGACAGTGGTGACCATATCTAATTTGCTTTTGCATCTTTCCTGGAATAGCATAAACCACACGATACCTTGAGCTATGTTGCCCTGGGACGAAGCGAGGTCGCACACGGCTAACACTCTGGCGCTTCTTCCACAGTATAATATTCCCTGCCAAGTCAAGTATGATTCTGGCTGTGTACGAAACGAAACGATACGATACGGCGCTGTAACAAAACCGAAAAGTCACGATACGATACGAAAACGGAAACGAAGGACTCTATCAAACGACATAGTCTACAAGCGAAGCGAAGCATCCGGACGCTAGACGCCGGCACAACCACGCAGGACGCACGACGAGTCGGGACCGGATCCAATTGCGACAGCAAACGACGGATTACGAACTTGAATTGCTTTCAAATCACATTGGATCTCCACCAGTCACTCAAGTAGCTTACAGCTTATATCTCACATCCAACCTCCATAATTCACTATGGACGAGCTGCGGTACCGCGCCCAGCAGCCTCCACTCGGCGACGCCACCATGGGCTCGTTCGTTTCGCCGCCCCGGAACGGTGGTAGCCGCCTGCCGCAGCCCACTGCTTCCCACGACCCACGATCTGTTCTACCCCGGCGCTTCACCACCGACTCGGGGCGCGTACCAACATTAGCCAGCATCGCTCCCCAACGTGCGCCCGAGTCCCAGGAGCTTGCAGCCTCGACGGTTCGTACACCTCAGATTTGTGGAAGGCGTGCCTCAGTCCCGACATGCACCCATCTGTGGCAAAAAAGCTAACGATTTTTTCATATATAGGCACTGCATAAGGTCCAATTGGTGAGTGACAAGATGCCAATGGAGTGAGCCGAGATGCCTGCATTGACGACCAACCACAGACTAACGCTTTCACAGCTCGAGAAGAAAAGGTTAGAGTACGAAAAGCTCCGCGAACAGAAGCGCCGCTTTGAGGCCGAGATGCACAAGCTGGACCAGCAGCAGCGCCGCGACGAGCAGGAGCTCGCCGCTATGCAGGAGGACCTCGGCCGCCTCGGAGCCGTTGCTATCGCCACGGGTCATCAGTCCGAGCCCACAACACCCCCCGAGTACCGCGAAACCACCGCATCCGGTTTCCCCTCCATGTTCTCCCGCCCCAACCGCTACTCCACGTCCAGCCTGACTTCGCCACCGGGCATCTTCAATCGCCCCGGCCGGTCTGGCTCACAAATTGCCTCGCCGCAGGCAGGTATCAACATGCAACCGCCGGCCTCTGCCTCTTCCTCGACAGCTTCCAACGCTCAGCAACAGCAGCAGCAGCAACAGCACGGCTTTGGTTTCGACGACCAGTTACCCTCACGGTCAGTGCCGACCACGCGCCGCAACAGCGACGAGGACGAGAAGGAGGAGGCTGTCCGCCAAGACCCCACGAGCCACCGCTCTACAAATGCGTACGTACAGACCCTGTTGCGTTGTCCCGTCATTTGCTGCGAATATCCCCACATCCCCATGTCCAGACCACCTTAAGGAGAGTCCTTGAGGGCAGCTTGAGGGCAGCTTGTGGGCAGCTTGCAAATTCCCCGCCCTTATTCGTCTCCCCTCGTCACAACGGCCTTTTAGTGTGGTCTTAATGTGCAATGTGCAAGAGAAAAAAGTAAGGCATCCAAGTAGGTCTGTGCTTCATGCTGCATTGTCGAGGTTAAGTGAGAGTGAGAATGTGTTGAGGTGGTGCGAAACGGGAGAGGTCAGTGCTAGTTCGACTCTCACGATTAGCTCACAACTGGCTCTGGGACAAGGGCGTATTCGCTTGCTCACCCATTCAATGGCTTTGCATTGGCCCACCAGGCGACCACAATCATGTTTGCTCGTCACTTTCTCGTCAGTATCTTGTCAGTGATGCAGAGCTATTGTCATTGCCTCCTCTGCCATTGTTGCAGATTCTTGCATCTTTGGCGAGCTTGTTGGTGGAGCTTGATCTTCTTGGTCTTTCTTTATTTAAAGACAGATTTGGTAGAAGCTCCATTGCCGATCTGCTTTCAATGCCGCTGCATCCTATTTAAGGCATCATCTGTATTGATGCTTTTTAATTTCTTATTCCTCCATTACCTTTCCTTAGTTTCACCTTGCCTCTTCCTATTTACATCTCCACCCTCAAAAACATATATACCGTGTATCATTTCATCTTTCAACCGTCTTTTCGTTCTTTCTTTCTCTTTCCTTTCTTTTTCAGCCACACGCTTGCTCGATACGTTGATTTTCAACTTTGAACAACCTGAGGTCTCGGTCTTGGGTCTGTCTGGAAGCTCAAATCAGCCTCTTCCAAGATTCGACGAGCCGCAAGCCTCACTTACAGCGTCTCTCCTCGCCTTTATACGTCCCAGTTGTACCTTGTGCTTCATTTTATTCATTTTCCTTTCCCAAAACTACCCATCATGTTGTCGCCAGCTTTTGCTGTCGCCGAAGATGACGACGTCTTTACTGACATTTCGCCGACCAGTCTCAACCGGTATAGCATGCCCGTGACGAGATCACGGACTGGTTTCTACGATTTTTCGTCACTCGACCAGACGAACACCACTCGCTTCCTCTTTGGCGAAGAGGAAGAGCATGCCACGAATGGCGAGACCAATAAGATGTTCCAGCAGACTGCCAATACCAATGTCACTGGCCTTGACGAGAGCTTCCCGACCCTGACCCGCAGCGAGGGCCAGACGAACACGGTGAGTTTTATACTCTTTCAATTTATTTGACTACGATTGCCTTTTTGTCTCCGATTTGCGTGGTATTGCTATATCGACATTGTTGGCAAAATTTGAGAATTTTTAGATTTGGCCCGGGATGCTCTCAGCTTCATCTCAGATTTCACTCAAGATATTTCTTCACCTTTTAACACCCATCTCCACTTCCAAACCTCGCTATCCCACTTTGACAACCCTCCAGGAGTATTACCCACTATTGCACCGCTTTTTATTGTTCCCATCCCTTTTCACATTGTTTGCCATTCCTACCACACAGAGTCTTTTTGATTTATTTTTCGCATGTTTTTTTTTTTTTTTTCCGCCCATATCTTCCAATGCCGTCTTTAATTGTCCAATTGCTGATATTGTTATGCACTGGCAGTTTTCGGCATCGTCTACCGCTCTGGACCTTGCTCTCTCACAGAACCATGGCTCTGAGACCACCAACACGAACGGCTGGGGCAGTGTCCGTCGCCATCGCGGTCAGCCCAGCCTGAATGGTCTTCCCAATGGCTCGTCTGCCCAGTCTAACTCGTCAGACGGCGGCAAACTTAACAGTCTTCCTGGCCGTCACTCCTTCGATCTCAAGTACTATGGCGATGGCACCGCCGAGGCCACTGTCGCTGCCATGCTAGCGGCGTCCCCGTCTAGCATTGCCACGCCTCCCAAGCTGCAGCAGTCGTACTCCGCCAACGACATTGCCACTGTCAAGTCGACGCCCGGCTCGACCATCTCGTCCAGCACCAACAACCACGCCCAGCAGTACCTGCACAACCATAATGCGAGCCTTGGCCGTATTCCTGCCGGTGTGATGCACAACCGCCATAGTCGCGAGCTGTCCACCAGCGAGATGAACAATGCCGTCCGCGAGTACGCTTCCATTGGCACTGCTCTACAGACCAACGCCGCCCCCTACGGCAACGGTTCTGGCCCTGGCACCGGTCCTGGCGCTGGCCCCGTGCCCAGCAACGTCTCTGTTGCCCACACGCAGGCTCCCCTGACCGCCAACGCCCTCGCTGCTGCTGCTGCTGCTGCCTCCTCGACTGGCACTGTGACCACCTTGCCCCCGACCACCTCCGGCAACAACCAGTTCATGAACGGCTACTACGGGGGCAACAACTACAGCCTGTCGACTGCTCCTCCTGTCACTGCGGGCAACCCAGCTGCCTATGGCATCAACAACATGCCCGTGCTGACCCAGGCGATGCAGGGCATGGCTCTGAACGGCCATAGCCCCATGTACCAGCTACCCCAGGGCTTCAACGGTTATGCACCGCTGTATGGTGCGCCTTCTCCCAATGTCAACCAAGCGCCGCGCGACAACCAGACTCGCATCATGCAGAGCCGTCGCCAGATGGAGAACGAGGGTAAGCGCAGTGTTCTAACTTGATCTCTTTTGTGTGCATGTCTGGTTTTTCTTGTTTCGGGCACTAACATCGTGCAGCCATGAACCGTTATAACAACACACCCCTCGAGGCCGTCGGCGGCACCATCTACGAGCTGTGCAAAGACCAGCATGGTTGCAGATACCTGCAGAAGCAGCTGGAGAATCGCATCCCTGAGCAGGTTCATATGATCTGGTTGGAGACCAACCAGCACGTCGTCGAGCTCATGACGGACCCGTTTGGCAACTACCTCTGCCAGAAGCTTCTTGAGTACTGCAACGACGAAGAGCGCACGGTCCTCATCCAGAATGCCGCCCAAGATATGGTGCGCATTGCCCTCAACCAGCATGGCACCCGTGCCCTGCAGAAGATGATTGAGTTTATCTCCACCGAGAAGCAGGTCCAAATCATCATCGAAGCCCTGCGCCATCGCGTCGTCGACCTTATTCAAGACCTCAACGGTAACCACGTCATCCAGAAATGTCTCAACAAGCTCACGCCTGCCAATGCGCAGTTCATCTTCGATGCCGTTGGAGGCGCCTGCGTCGAAGTCGGCACCCACCGTCACGGCTGCTGCGTCCTGCAGCGCTGCATCGACCACGCGTCAGGCGACCAAAAGGCCTGGCTCATTTCTCGCATCACTCAGGAGGCCGTCACCCTTATCCAGGACCCTTTCGGCAACTATGTGGTGCAGTACATCATCGACCTCAACGACCACAACTTCACCGAGCCTCTTGTTGCTCAGCTGCGCGGTCGCATCTGCCAGCTCTCTCGTCACAAGTTTAGCTCCAATGTCGTCGAGAAGTGCCTGCGGTGCTCGCTGGACCCGTCCAAGGACATGATTGTCGAGGAGCTGCTCCAGCCTGGTGAGATCGACCGCCTGCTCCGCGACTCTTTTGCCAACTACGTCATCCAGACGGCCCTCGACTATGCGACGCCCTACATGAAGGTGCGCCTGGTGGATAACATCCGTCCGCACCTCCCGCAGATTCGCTCGACGCCCTATGGTCGCCGCATCCAGGCCAAGATCCAGACCTACGACTCGCGCAGTGGCCACTCTAGTGGACAGGTCACCCCAGCTGAGACGTCCCATGGCCAGATCCCCCTGCACAATGGTGGCAACCACAACCGGGGTGGCAGCTCCAACATTCTCGTTCCGACCTCGGCCTTCTCGACCAACGGTGGCGCCAATGGCATTAGCCACCGCGGTAGCATTAGCTCCAACAACGGCCCCGTCAACGGTAACGGCAGCGGCAACAACAATGTCGGCAACAACGTCAATGGTGGTGGCGCCAGTGGACACTCGATGAGTGGTCGCCCTGTTGCGACGTACGGCCCGCCGCCGACTTTCGCGCGCGGCCCCATGCCTCCTTCCGTGCCTTCGACCGGTGCCATGATGCCGACCATGATCCCGATCAGTATGCCGCCCAGCGGCATGGGTCCTGGCATGTCCGGCATGGGTGTTGCAACGGAGAACGGCGAGGCTGCGTGGCTCTAGAGTGGCGCGTGGTACAGTTCTCCGATGCACTATGGCTTTGTGGTGCTTCAGGAGTGATTCGACAAATCTGACGATTTCACTTTTGACTCTCGCTTTACAGCCATCCAACGCGGAAGCATTTGATCTGCACAGACAACAAGTGTTTGCTTCTCTTGTGCCACTGTTCATTACTGTTTCAAGTCTCTCCACTACCTCTTCGTTTATATTTGTTCGCTTCAGTTCTTGCTTTATTTCAAACAGTATTGTGGATTTCCCTTTAGCATGTACTCTGGTGTGTGATGAGGTATGACCTTTCCTTCTCCCATTTCACCGCCAGCGGCCAATCTCAAAACAGAATCATTCCCGGGGATTTTTTTTGATTTTTTTTTTTTCACTTACGTTCCTTGTACCTGTCCTTTATGAGCAAAGTCTTTTTCTTTTCGCGTTTTAGCACTCACAGCTTTTGCGTGTCGTAATTTCTTTTCTTTTATATTGCTACTACAACGCTGTTTATCCTACCTTGTTCTTGTTTGTGATTTTTTAACCCGTTTCCTTGTTTGACATTTTCAGTTTTTATTCTCCTTGTGTTTTATTCACAACTTTCATTCTCTTCTTCTACCGGTGTCACTGCATTATATCTTGCAATTTGCAATATATACGACCTTCCGCCCAGTATCCGAATTCCGCTTCTCCTTCGAGCGCGACGAATTGATGACGATGAATGACGATTCTGCTTTTTATTCTTATATCTCCCCCCCTTTTTTCTTTGCCCTCAATAACAAACTCGGCTGGTATGTGAGAGGCCCAGCCAACCAAATACGATTTGATGCCAATCGGATTTTATTTTCATTCCTGATTTTATTCTCTTTACCCTATTTCTTTCCATCTATATTATATCTGTTATTTGTTTTCCATGTCTTAGTTTCTTCCTGTACTCCATTCACCACTCTCAATACCAAGAGCAAAGACGAGACGACGAAGTGGGCGCAACGTGTACTAGCAGTTGTTTCGTTTCCTGCTTTTGCTTTTTCATGGGTCTCGTCGATGAAAATAGGAGGGAAAGGGGAAACTCTAGACACGCATCCTGGCGTCATTTACATGGAGAGACAGAAGGAGACAGAAGAGGGAGGAATTCATGGGAAGCAAGAAGAACGCAACAGATATTAGTTTCACTAAACCGTACAATGCAAAATGCAACATTTTATAAAAGTCAAAACATTCAAAGTGCTTTTGTTATTGAAAGTCGCCATGATAAAAAGAGTGGCATGCCACCAGGTCACAAAATCCAAAAAATATACGATCCGCAACAGCTAGATTCGGCAAAAGGGAGAAACAGCAGCAAGATCAACGAAACAAACCGCCGCCCAGACCCTTCTCCGATACCATTCTCACAGCCACGGGCTTCTCCCAGCCGCAGCCACCAAGTCGATCAATCACTTCTTGCCTCTTCCCGTCTTTTTGGGCGCCGTCGCCTTGCCCTTGCCGCGCGCTTTGGGCGCCTCCTCCTCCTCCTCATCCAAGCCGTCGTCCTTGGCGGCCTTCTTTTTGGGCGCCGCACGCTTGGCCTTGGCCTTGGGCTGCTTGATGTACTTGTCCTTCTTCAGGTCCAGCTCCTCGTCCTCCTCATCAACGGGCTCGGCGACGACGTCGCCGTCGTCGTCCTCTTCAATGGCTTCCTCCAAGTCGGGAGCATCGCGCGCCGTCTTTTTCGCCACCGTCGCCGTGGTCGCCTTCATGAACGGAACTGGGTGGGCCATGCCGTTGTATCTGTTCGGGTTAGTACGCGAGCTTTCAAGAACAAGAACAAAAATGTTGTCAAGGGTGTATAGAGGGGGATCACATACGTTCTGGTAAAGGCGGCCTTGGTCTGGGAATCAATATTGACAGTGTCCTCGGACATGTACCCCAGACCAAGCTCCCGGATGGCATCGACATCGTCTCGTGTCAAGTAGTAATTGTCCATCAACTCAATGACACCGTCAATGGCATCCTTACCCTCATTTTCCAGTTGCTTAATAAGTTGGTACCAGAGAACGGGCAGGTACTGCTGGCGGATTTCATTGTGGTCGCCCGACGCCTTGAGCCGCATGTGCGAGTGGATCTCGCGCAGAAGTCGGCCAAACTTGCCCGTCTTGCTGTTGTTGCCAAGCCACGAGGTGAAGCCCGAGTGCGTCAGCTGGCCGGCGATAAAGCTGGCTGGGCGAACCGAACTGAATACAGCGTGCGTCGGCATCAGACTCCACTGCTGCTGGGGACCGTGAATCATGCGGTCCACGAGGTCGCCGTCGCTGATGCTCTCGGCCGCATTGTCCACAAGCTCCAGGTACTTGAGGTTGGCCTCCCGCTTGCTGCGCGATGTGCTGTTGGTAAGTGCCTGGGGTCGCGTGCTGAGGTAGTTCTCCTGGATCATCAGGAAACTGAACTCGTGGTCGTTGAAGTACAGCTCAATCTTGTCATTGAGAGTGGCCTTGCTCGCAGGGGCAAACAGTCCGCCGCCAAGCAGCTTCTGGCAAATATCCCACGGCTTCAGCACCACGTGCTTTTCCCACGCCTTGGTCATGGCCTTGCCATCGTCGTACGACATAGTGGTCTGGTCAAGCTTGGCAGTAGACAACATGTTGATGATCTGCCGAATGTCCTTGCCAGTGCCCTCGATCAGAGCATCGACCACCTGTGTCGGCATCTTAAGGCCTTCACGGAGACAAATGGTCATGATACGCGAGCGAATCTGGTCGACGGTCGGCCGGTTGAAGCGAATATCAAAAGCAACGTTGTCAAACGGCCGCATCTTGGGCAGACGCCGCTCGTTGCAGATGAGAATAAGCGGTACCTCAGTCTTCCGGCAGAATTTGGCGAGCGCCGCGATGCCGCCACGGTCACCAGCAGACATACCATCCACCTCGTCCATGATTAAGACAATGTTCTTCTTTTCCGTAGACACCTTCTTGCCGTCGGCAGCAAAGAACCCCATGAGCGACGTGTTGTCCATGGCGTCGCCAATGCCGTTTTCCACCATCTTCTTGCTGCGCGTGTCACTGGCGTTGTTCTCGATTATGTCGTGGTCTGCCAGCTTGGCCGCGAGGTGAGCCGCCGTCGTCTTGCCGATGCCAGGGGGGCCAGAAATAATGATGGCGCGGGAGTTGCCCAAGCCGTCAGCACCTTTGACCTTGAAGTCGTACTTTTTGGCCTTTGGCCAGTTCTTCAGCCATGACGCAATCCGCTCAACCTGCGTCTTGTTGCCGCAGATATGGTTCAACTGCGTTGGCGCATACTTGGTCGTCCAGAGTTGCTGGGAGCTTGCCGGGTGGGCAGGCTTAGCAGCGGGTGGGGGGCGAGCAGCAGCTTGAGCAGAGCCGGCCTTTCCATTTGCGGCGGGCGCCTTTGCAGCAGCAGCTTTGGCAGCAGCCTTCTCGGCCCTTTCAGCTGCAAGTCTCTTGGACTCCTCCTCTCGGTTCATCTCTTCGGCTGCCAGCCGGATCTTTTCCAGTTCCTTGTCCTGCTTCTCGCGAGCCTTCTCGGCCTCCTTGCTGTCGCCGCCGCCGGCTGGCAGGCGCTTGACCATCTCAAACAAGCCGGTCTCGTCAATGGTACGAATACCAAACTGTTGGATCTTGGCCAGTTTACTGGGACCAGCATCGTCGCCCAGCACAATCCAACCAGTGTTCTTGCTCGGCGCACTCATGACCTTGCCACCGTACCGCTTGACCAGAGCCTGGCCCTCGTCTCTACTGATCGTCTTCAAGAGACCAGTGAAAACAAAAGTCTGGCCAGCCAGACAATTTGGCTCACCCTCCGGTATCTCCACGGCGCCAGCATTTGGCGGAGCTCCAGAGTTGCCGCCGCCAGCAGCTGCCTTTCGCCAGTTAAACTTGGGCGCGTTGCCGTCCTTGGGCGGTGGTGAGGGGGGTTGGATCAGCGGGATGGAATCCAAGATGGCCTGAACGGAGGAGTTGCTGGTCGCGCCGCTGGCGGCAGCCTTGGGGGCAGCAGCTTTTTTCGGAGTCAAGGCAGCGGGCGTTTTTGGTTTAGAGGCAGCCGTTGTAGTGGCTGTCGTGGCGGCCTTCTTCCGCGGCTTTGTGACAGGCGAGAGATCGACATCCGACTCTGACTCTGGCGTCTTGCGCTTCTTGCTTACCGCGGATGGCGTCCGACTACCGGCCGCGTTGCTACTCTTTGCCGGTGCGGTCTTGCCCTTCTTCGGTGCGGGCTCGAAATCGTCTTCATCGGAATCGATCGTGATGGCAGCCTTGGCACTGCGCGAGGCGACTCTCTTAGGCTTAGGCGCAAAGTCGTCTTCCTCGCTGTCGTCATCCTCCACATAGTCGTCGTTCTTTCTCTTTCCCCTCTTGCCGTCGGCCGCAAAAATGTCGTCACCGCCGTCCTCGTCGTCATTGTACGCGTCTTCATCGTCGTCGAGGTCGTATGATTTATACGCGGCCGTGGACCGCTTCTTCTTTGCGGTTGATTCTGTTGCCGTAGCAGAGCGACCGTTCTTAACAGGCTCCGATGCAGGAGCTACGTTCTCCTTCTTCCTTGGGCTTACGCGGATTTCAACTTCGGTTTTCGGGAGGCTCTTCGGGGCAGCCTTGGCAGGTGTCGTTTGTGTCTTGGGCTTCTGGTTCGACTTGGCCGAGGCGAAGTAGTCGCTGGCAGAGACCTCAACCCCTTCGACAGGCTGTGATGCACTATTCGTCTGTTAGTTGGTTTGGTCCTCATACGGCCATTTAAACTCGAGGCAAGAGAGCTTACCTTTTCTTCTTCTTCGGCGTGGTCTTTGCTGAGTTTTTTACCCTGTTTCTGTGGTAAGTGGCCTGCCTTCCATCTCATATTCGTGCGTATGCATTCGCCCAGACTCACTCGATCACGTCGTCATCGTCGCTTTCCTCCACGACCTTGCGGGCTCCTGAGAGTTGTCAGCAATCCGCCAATTGAACGCCCTTGCGAGTCCAAACCAAAGAAAACAGAAAACTCACTTCCACGGCCCTTCTTAGCTGCCGTATCCTCTTCTTTCTTTGAAACCGCCGGCTTGGCCTGTGCAGCACCGCCTTTTGGCCCAAAAAATGACCGGATGTCAGGCATGATGAGGCCGAAGAGCGCCGTCCCCGATCTTGGGATCTTGGGTGAAGGGACCAGAAAGGTGTCCGTCCAATTTGGTGCTAGACACGGCTGAGAACTCGTCAACGACACGCTTTCCAGAATGGATTTGTTTCTTGATGGTGAAAAGATTGGAAAGCAGGGCTGGATGTGCAAGAAGCGACCAAATCGTAGGTAACAATTCGACAGCAATGGGCAGGCAGGAGCGGTCCTTCCTACCGAATAAATTATGGTGGGGAGGCACCTGCCAAAAGGCGTGAGCTGCACTCTAGGCCTGTTGTTTCGCCCTGCGCTTCTCTCATTAGAAGGTACGCGAAGTTGACGCGAAAAACGTGACCTTGAAGCGTGTGCTAAAGTGCGCCATCATAGCGCCTGTTCTTGCCTGTTCCGATGGCGAGTGGGGCTCAAACGGGCAGAGTTCCCATGCCTGTATTTTCAGGCACCAATAGCTCACACTACCACCAGCACCAGCCAATTGGCCTACTAGCGTTGCCTGAGCTCCTTACTGGTATGGCCGTTGATTTTTTTCGCAATTGGTCTGAGGAAGGCTTCGGATCGAACCGCGAACGACGACGTGTGTTTTGCGCAATTGGAGACAAGATCACCAACCAATCGTCTAGTCGAACTTCACACCGACCAATCGTCTCCGGTATTGGCATACATATTCGGCCCAACATGCCCACCAGCATGCCAGGAGCAGCCATGCTGCGCCAGGCCTTCCAACGGTTCAGCATCACCACCTCTCCGTCCACCGCCTCCTCTACCTCCTGCACTACCTCCTCCTCGGCCGCTGCCTCTCGGCGGCTGACTCGCACATTCTCGGCCAGACCTGCCATGGCATCCTCATCAATACGGCCAGCCATCGCGGCCCGCACACCCTCCTCCTTTCTCCAGCACCACATGCGCCGCCCCTTCTCGGCCACCGCCGCCGTGCAGGGCACCTGGCTCGAGCCCCAGCTCGACCGCCGGAAGCGCATGATGAAGGGCCGCCCGCGTGTAGCCACGGGCGGCTCTGCCAAGGGCACGACGGTCGTGTGGGGTGACTACGGCCTGCGCATGTACGACCACCACCGGCGCATCAGCGCCAAGCAGCTCAAGGTCGCAGAGGACACGATCAAGCAGCGTTTGCGTGGCCAGAAATACCGCCTGTACAAGCGGGTGAACTGCAATGTTGGCGTGTTCGTCAGTGGCAACGAGGTAAGCTTCGACCGCCTACCGGTTTTCAAGGGTTTTTTCTTTATCTTTTCTTTTTCTTATTGGAGCCTCCCCTAACTTGATTATAGATGAGAATGGGTAAGGGTAAGGGTTCATTTGACCACTGGGCGGCACGCGTGGCGGTTAATCGTGTTGTTTTTGAGCTGCGCGGCGCCATCCACGAACAGGTCGCGCGCGATGCGTTCCGTCTGGCGGGCAACAAGCTGCCGGGCCAGTACGAGTTTGTGAAGAAGGGTGATGCACCGGTGGTGGGAATTACGAAGATGGAAAACGGCCTGACGCTGGAGGACCTGAAGCGGCCGTGGAAAGCCGCGGCGGATGTGCCGGCCGTGGAGGAGGCCAGCAGCGGTCCGGCCGCAAGTGCGCCGCCAGCATAAAAGAAAGAAACTGATGAGAGAGGATGTCGGTCCGGTGTAGAAAATCTTTTAAAAAGGTCCATGGTAAGGCCGTGGGATATACAACGTATTTATGCCGGAATTGTACTATTATTAAGACATAACCTCAGAACAAAATTACAAGTTTATGACCCGTGTCACAGGTTCGATTGTAATCTACAGAATACTTTTACGATGCTTGTGTTTGGATAATATCTGTCCCAAAGGAAGAGACAAAGTCACATCTTTGTATGAACAGAATTACACGGTCAAAATAGTAATGGCTGCTACGTTCCTTGCGTATATAGATGTTTTCATTTTGACGAAATGAAAACTTCGCTTAATAAGGACCGCTGCACAAGAACCTACTATGAAAAACCTCCCCCCCTGTGAAAATCTGACACGTAAGAAGAAAACAGAAATGAGATGCGTGTTTCCTAAGAATAGCAGCACACAAAAATATGAGACAACCACAATTCACATCATGAACCAAATATCTTTCTAGATCAACGGGTTTGGAAGAGAAAAGAAAACTCATGTCATAATGGTGTAAAAATAAAAGTAAATAAAAACACAGTGGTGGTCAAACAATGGGGACCTATAAAGTATCAAAAGCGAAACGGACACATAAAAGAGCTGCGTGGGCAGTCGGGCCAAAAGTCAAACCACTTTTTGTAAAAAACAAATGTCCTCACAATCAGAACGAGATAGGAGGGACAAAGGATAAAAAAAAGCACAGGGCGTGGCAATAGAAGTTAAAAGTTTTGCAAAGTTGCTCCGAGCAAGAAGAAGTAAAAAGTAAACCGGGGATAGATAAATTCTCGGAAGGCAAGGTTGTGATGAAAGCAAAAGACAAAACGAAAAACGCATGCATAGGAAAGACAAAGTCACAGCAGAAGCCCACCAAAACAACCCCTCATTTGCCGTTGGAAGAAAACAGAGAACAAAAAGAAATACAAAAGAAAGGCAAAAAACGAGCTAAGCGACTTGCCAGTGTCTGTCTCCCAATAACCCGGCCGGTACCATGGTGTGAAGAAGACACCTTCAACCGTCCACGCTTAGATACATCCATGCTCCATGCGGTCCTGTAGCATGTTCACAAGCGTAGCAGTCATCAGTTTAGGCTTTTGCTTACTCATTCTAGGACGACTCGGTTTTGGCAATGATCCCGTTAATGCTGGAGCCCGTGGGGGTCGTAGTCGCCTTAAGATCGCCGGCCGAGGTTGAGGGAGGGCCGGCCGAGCCAGCAGCAGAAGTAGCAGAAGCAGTAGGAGGGTTAGGGGCGGCCTTCTTGTCATCCTCACCGCTGTCGTCGTAGTCCTCGTCCACATCCACCTTGCGCGCGGCACGCTCAGGCTCGTTGGCAGGCGGCGCGGGCGGCGGCGGCGGGGGTGCATGGTCCAGGCGCTTACGGTCTTCTTGGGGATAGTCCTTCGGATCAGGACCAGACAGAGGGCCGTCGTGCTGCTGCAGGTGACCGGCGGGGCCGCTGGCCGACTGCATCGGGGGGAGGTGGCTGGACACATTATTGTGCGCGGGCTGGTGGTGGGCCGCCTCAGATGGGTGGTAGCTGTCCCGCGGCGGCGGCGGCTGCTGCTGATCGTCCGGCCGGCGGATATCGTCTCCACGGCGCGGGTCGTCCTGGCGGCGGGCCTCTGACGAATTGCGGCGGTAGGGTTCGTGGGGTGGCGTAGAAGGCCGACGGTGGCGGATATCATCCATCCGGGCACGTGCCTCTTCCGATGCCGGCTTCTTGGCCGACGACTCGGGATCGTCCCACTCCCGCATGCGCTTCGGACCAACCGACGGTGGCCGGTCGTCGCGGTGCATACTCGGCTCGGGAGGAATCGAGGACTGCGGCGGGGGAGGCGGTGGTGGCGGGCCGTTCTCGATCGGCCCCTGGCCATTGGATTCAGGATGTGGTGGGTACGGCGACTGGTGCTGCGGGTAGGCCGACTTCGGCGACGGCATGCGGTTGTCGTGCACGGGACGGGGGCCATCATTTCGCGGCGGGCTCGACGCGCGGTACATCATCGGACTGGGGTTACCAGACCCATGCGGCGGGGGAGGGCCGTTAATTCCGTTGCTCGACGGCATGGGTGCAGGGCCGACGTAGTTCGGATTCTGGACACGCGTCTGGGGCTGCTGGGAAGGTGGCGGTGGTGGTGGCTGCTGCTGCTGCTGTCCCGGCGGCGGCGGGCCGTAATGGTTGGGCGGGGGAGGAGAGCGTCTCAGAGGACCACCGGGCGGTAGAGAGTTGGGACCCCCCATGGGACTCGGGCCAGCAGGGCCGCTGGGCCCAGGACCAGGGCCAGGACGGCCTTGCTCAGGGTACGGGCGGAGTTGCTGCTCCTGGCGCGGGCTGCCTTGGCGAGCTGGCGGGGGAGGAGCAGGGCCCCGGTACGGCTCTCGCTGGTCGAAGGGGTTGGGCGGCTGCGGGGGAGGATTCATCTCCGACAGACGGCCCCATCCGTTCGAGCCAGGCCCCGGTGGCGGGGGCGGGCCGTTCGTTGGTGCAGGCTGCTGGGGCGCAGAACCAGCCCACTGAGGGCCCGGAGGGCCAACAGCATTTGTCTGGTAAGCATGCGGGTGGACGTCCGTGGGCATGGGCGCGCTGCCTACACCGTTCGTGGAGCCGCTGCGCAGCAGCTGCAGGCGAGCCTTGATGTGCGGGTTGTTGGGGTCGAGCTCGGCCGCCCGTTGGTAGGCATCCAGCGCATCGCTGATCTGATTGTTGCAAGACTCGTAAAGTGTGCCTAGGTCGTACCACACCTCCGAGATGAAGGGATTGAGACGAATGGCACGGGAGTAGGCATCCAGTGCATCGCGGTACTGGTTAATCTGATAGTAGAGCACACCGATAGAGCACCAGAAGGTAGGGTTGCGGCCCTCCCGGTAGACCGCCTGCTGGTAGGCTTCATAGGCCTTGGGGTACTTTTGCTGCGACATGTAGCACCGACCGAGGAGGTACCAGCTCTGCGCATCGTTGTTATCGGCTGCAACGGACTTCTCGAGGTACTCGATCGCGCGGTCTTGGCTCGCAAAGTTGCTGCTCTGGTTGTGGTACAGCCAGCCGAGCTGCTGGAGAACCTTGGCATGGTTCGGGTCGCGCTCGAGGACACGCTGGTACGCGCCCTTGGCGTTGTCAAACTGCAGGCGCAAGTGTTAGCATCACACAGCTATTATGATTTTCCAGCGTCTCGCTTTGGGAATACCCCAAGGTTATTTTATTTCCCAGGGCGACTTACGTCTTTCTGCTGCTCGTACACATGGCCGATTTGGAACCAAATGTCCTCCTCTGTCAGAGGCGGCGGTGGCGACGTGACGATATACTTGAAGCACTGTGTGGGAGAAGCACAATGTTAGTAATGCTCGAAGGCAGTTCGCAGCCCAGTACGAGCTCCAGCCAGACAGGGCAATCAACTTACATCCAGACTCTGGCTGTACTTTTGTTGCTGCTTGTATATGATACCAAGGCGGAAGTAAATCTCGTTGGCCTTTTCAAAGTCGGGCTGCATGGACATGACCTGCGAGAACGCCTCCTCGGCATGATCGAGAGAGCCGTAGCGGTCGTACAGGATGCCAATGCCGTACCAAAGCTTGGGCTCCTTAGGGTTGCGAAGGTTGACGAGGGCGGACTGGTACGCAGCGTAGGCCTGCTGCAGATCGTCCATCATCAGGTAGCAGTGGCCAAGGCTGCCCCAGACTTCGCCGTTGTTCTGGTCCAGCTTCAGGATCGTCTGCAGATACTCAATGGCCTTGGGGAATTCCTCGCGCGAGCGGAGAATGAGGCTGATGGCGTTCATCGCAGGGATGGACTGGGGGTTCGACTGCAGAGCGCGGTCGTATGCGATCATGGCATCCTCCGTGTTGCCCAGGAGCTCAGAGAAGGAGCCTGCCAACAGAATAGAGTTAGCAACGCGATTGATGTTGATGTCGATGCGGACATCGCCGGCAACTGAACGTGATAACAGGCAGGAGGGGGGTATACCAATTTGCATCCAAACAGTCTCGTTCATGGCCGAGATCTGGCGCGACGGCGCATAGGTGCCTGGCGGAGGGGGCGCCGGAGGGGGCGCGGGCCCCGGAGGACCATGTTGCATCTGCATTTGCATAGGCGGCGAAGGGTGATGCTGGGCCATGGCGGTCCTTGCTGTATCGGCTGACAGCCAGCAGAAGGAAACAAGCAAATGGGTTGATTGTCTTGGGTTGCCAGTTCAGGTCGCGGGCGATGCGCGATTCGAACGCGAGGTCAAAGGAAACGCAGCAGCCGGCGCCAAGCAACAGCCACAGTCCGCAAAGACAACAGCTAAGATGACAGAAAGCAGGTGACGAAGCAAGAATAAGCGAAAAGGGGAGGCAGCGGAGGAACGTATCGTCGAGGCAAAAGAAAAAAAGAAAAGAAAAAAAAAAATCGCGCTGAAGGTGGTGGTGGTTGAGAGATTTGCGTTCGATGGCGATGCCGGGGGGGTGATGCCAATGGAGATGGCTGGGGGGGTAAGTGACAGATATCGTTCGGAGACGAAAGCTTGTCGCGCTGGCTCGACGATGTCCAAGCCCAGCTGCTGGTCGGTTCGTGATGGGGTGTGAAGGGGAATGGAGGGCAAGTCGCGCGCGCAAAGCGTGTCGTCGAAATAGTAGCGGACGGGAGAAAGAAAAGGGAAGAGGCAGGAAGCAAAAACGAGGCAAAAGAGGCAGGAAGCAGGAAGCAGGAAGCAGAAGGGGGAAGGAAGGAAAGAGGGAGAAGGGGAAAATAGGAAGGTTTGCACTTTCCCAGGCTGTCTGGGCTCTGCTCCTTGGGGGTTGCTTTGGCTGCGGCGATAACTTACCTTACCCACGAGCTCTTTTTTTCTCCTCTCCGGTTTTTATTATTTTATGTCTGAATTTATCGAATTTCGTGGAATTGATCGAGCCGCGCCCCCGTTTCCCTTCCATTTTATTTTAGCGCAATCCGAAGGTGATTTATTTTAATTCTTTTGTCCGTTGACGCCTGTTGCAGGGGG